AACTGTGCTGATTTTCAAATTATTGTACATCTGTTCAACTCATGAGTATGAATACAAAGACCAAAAAGACTAGGATGATTTTTTTGATCATACATGTTTGCAACTTTTGTTCTTACTTTTCACCAAATTTTTTGTACACAGATTGTTTTTACTTTGAGACGGCTTGACTGAAAAGTGATATTCTCCAACTTATGTGTGTAAATCTTTAAACTGGAAATTTAGTGCTATTATGTATACGGACAAAAAGCAAGAAATTCCATAAGACACTTAACGAATCAAAAATACGATTTGGTCCACCGGACCAATGTCTATATAATTTATTGCTCTAAGACAAGCAATATTAATTTTCTTTAAGAATTCCAGAGTCAACTTCTTTGTGTCAGTGAGCTCATACTAGTCAACTTAGGTGATTAAAGTAGGTGTCAACAATATATAATCATAAGACAACATAACGTTAAGAGGACCTAACAAAATTCCTGCATAGAAATTAACATTTCATGATCTGTAAACAATACTTCAGCACAGTGACTAATATCATACCTAAAATATTAGCCTCACAATAATACTTTGAAGTCTAACTAGAGTTCGTGAAGAACTAAGAAAATCAGTTTGGTTTCAGACCTGGACGTGGTGGTATAGACAATTTTCACTCTTCGGCAGACTCTTCCACAGAAATACTTCGCGACGTCCGATAATAGTTGTACTCCTTGACCGTCAGGCGGCGTTCGGCTCAGTTAATTATGAGGTCCTGTGGTAGTGTCTGTCATTGTAAGGTGTACCAAAGTAGATTAACCTTGTACAGGCTCTCTGCTCTCTCTGCTGATGGCGGTTGTGATCCTTAAGTATTAACAATTTACTACCGTCAAGTACAAACTTTCTTGATAAAAAAAGGTAATAACGCACTGGAAGTATTGTACTCCTATGCAACATATATCCTTGCAATCGAATGGAGATAACGGTGGAATCGAATTGCTTTTCGCACCTTGAACTCACATTTACACTAGTAAGTTCACATTATTAAAAGGTTGGAAATGGCCTGCTCCAATGTATAACGTTAGATTGTTTAAGTTGTGAGAAGCTTATGAGCGTCTTACACAAGATATGCCATCGACCCATGAAATTGCTAACCACTGAATTGGAACGTATCAAGTGAATTTTTCCTTATGGTCAATACGATAATCCCGATCAATAATTGTAGACCTTAAGTTAATGCGACTGCAGTGGAGTAGATGCAATCATTCCTGATCGTCTTCTAAGTTTTGAGTCTGAATGCTGAACCAAGCTTTTCATTCCTTTATTTCATTTCGTCTTTCAAATCTTAGTTTGAAATTAGTTAATTCATAAATTCAAAGATTATATATTAACTTAATTTTCTTTCTGTATTGTGATGCGCCAACTTGGGTCAACGCATAGTTCCGCCAAATCCTCTGTTTATGAGTGATTGGCATTGATAACTTCCTATGCCTTTGATACCGGTCCCAGCACCCAGACCTTATAGTTCCTCTTAACAGGATGTAAACTAGTAGTAAGTTACCTAAGGAAGTAATCACCAACAGCTCGAAAATCTACTATAAGCAAAGCACCACTAAGTACTCTCAGTGAATATAGCTAGACTAAAATACCAAAAGTCAGTGACGAAATTTTATTCATGTGCGAGCATCACAATCTAATCAGTAGTACCTAACTGATCTATAATAATGAAGAACAAAAAGCACCACAGATAACTACGAATCAATATCTGCAAATATCTAATCGTTTCAAAAACGTAAATGTGATCATGTACTTCCATAGTGTTGTCACCAACGAGGATATGTTAGCCCAAATGTCTGGAAAGCCAGTACACAGGATATTATACACCCAGCGTCCTCAGTAGACTGGACAACATAGCCCAGAGGTGAGAAGTAGTAGCTATATTCATTAGCAATTCTATTCCTCTTACCTTTGTCGTTGACATATCCCATGAAGGTAGAGCGTGCGAATTAGTTAACTGCCTCCTGAAATGAAAATTCAATAGCTGCTGATTAGTTTGGTATACCACAGACCAGACTGTGAAGTGAATGAGATCTTGTTAGACGGTTTAAACACTTGGTTCTCCAAGGGGTCGGTGTTTAATCTTAGGAGACTTTAATGCACCTATAGTTGACCGAAAGAATCTGAGGACTGAGATGTCAAGAAATTCTTCCAAACAGGAACTAGTTCACGCGGTTATCACATGTGCCCTAATGCAAAATCTGGAAGAAGCAACTAGGTACGACCTGAACTCCGAATCAGCCTTATTAGACCTCATATGAGGATGGCGTCACAAACCCCACTGTATTCCATCCACAGGTAAGTGGCCATGCAGTCCCAGTCTATGATTTCCACATCGTTGTCAACAACGATATGTCAACACAAGCCAGACCAAACGTCCAGAAAGAAAATATACAAGGAATTATACACTCAGTATCCCCAGTAAATCGGACAATAGAACCAGAATCCCCCATTGAAATGGATTGTGACGTATTCAGGAATTTGTACGCAAAAGCTACTGCACCGGACATCCTTTGGTGGAGAAGAATGTGGGATGGAGTTAGGTAACCGGGTGCTGAAGAGACAAAATCCCGATGTCAGAAAGCCCGAACTATCTTCTCCTTGTTCCTCCGCAAGTACAGATCGTATGAAGATGAGCATATCAAGGAGTCTATAGAATACCCTAAACGCCAACATTTGTGCATAAACCAAAAGAGGCAACGTTGCAGCAATACTAGGAGAAAGTACTACTGCATTATTAGTAGAGGACGATTATAGTAAAGCTCAGGTATTCTCAAAATACTTTAGGAATGTAAATACCGCAGAGATAACCCCCATCGGTTCATGCAATCCCTACACACACTCTGGACGCTGTAACCACTAAAGAAACTGATTTCTTTAGCCTGCTAAATGAGCTTGATATAGAAAAGTAAAACGGCCGTGATGAAATATATCCTGTGTTACTAAAGGAATTAGCAAATTTTACCGCAAAACCACTAAAGCACATGCTTTAATCTATATGTAACCCAGGGTCGATTGTAAAAGGGCTGAAAGAACGCCATAGTAAGTGGTCTTCAGTACATGTATGAGACACAAACCTGAGAACTACTGACCCGTAAGCCTAGCCAGCGTGGTTGTTAAAATTTTAGATAAGGTTATTCGGAAGTTGTTTAAGTATCTAGACAAAAGCCAGATTCTTTCTGAAAAGCAGCATGGCCTTAGGACAGATAATGCATATCCCACAAACTGATTAATAGCCCGTGATAGTTGCTTAACTATCAAATACCAAAAGCCATCCATAGATGCACCCTGCATTGACTTCAGTATGTCTTTTGACAAAGCTCCTCCCAACCGGCTGTTATCTAAGTTAAGTAATATCGTGACTGGAGGCAATTTATTTATCTGAATACAGGACATCCTAGTTGGGCGTCAACAAAGAGTACAAGTAAACTCGAAATTGTCTAGCTGGGAAACAGTGCTTAGCAATGCGCCTTGCGGTAGAGTTATGGGGCGTAGTGTTACTTTTGTATGTAAATGATCTTCAAACACTCCCACCGTCATCAGTTTTGTAATATGCTGAAAATGTCAAGATACGGAGAGCGACAAAGTGTTGATAGTTTAGAGCTTCAAAATAACCTGGAAAAATGATCTGAATGATTTACAGCCTGGCAGTTACGGATAAATGCTTCCAAGTGCATTATGGTGTGTATTGGTCACCAAGGTACAGATACATGCACAATAAATAACAGCGAGCTACCTGTTGTCCAAACACAACCTAAAAGTCGTCGTTAGCCAAGACTTAACAACTACTGCACGCTGCCATGCGATAACCGCCAAATTCTTTAGAACACTATGCTCAATACGTAGTCCTTTGCCATGTCGATGCTAAAACCTTTTTGAATTTTTATACACTATTCGTCCGACCTCAACCCGAATAATGTATACAAGCGGTTAGTCCCTGTCTAAAAAGACAGTGAGCTGTTAGAAAAGGTTCAAGGAACCGCAACTAAGCAGGTTTTCAAAATCGCAAAGCTTCCGAATGATGATTGACTAAATTAAATTTATTTACCTTGTCATATTGAAGAACCAGAAGCAACTTGATCAGTTTTTAAATTACTTAATGATAAATTTGCATCTGATATGCCCTCAATTTTCTTATCTTCCAAAACAGATAATTTACGAGGACACTGAAAAAGTCCACAGGCCGAGAACAAATTACTTGTCAGCTGACTATCGACTTTTCCATCAAATCACCAATCAATAGAACTTGTTATCTCAATACGTGAATGGAACTATATCTGTCGACGCTTTCAAAGGAAAGTTAGATCAACTGAGACAATTGCCAAAACTAACACAGGCCACTCAACCTCCTATCTTTTTAAAAACCAAAACGGATGTATCCAAGACCCAAACTGAAGTTAATACTGGATGAACCTAATGTATAAAATGAGTACTTAAGTTGACTGCTACAAACGGAACCACAATAAATCCATAAACAATGAAGGATGGAGTTCCTACTCCAAACAGTTGAGAAACTCATGAGGTTTTTTAACGATATTGAGAAAGCGGACTTCAAACAACGAGTAATAACGGAAACTAGTAAAATAAGACAGCTCATGCAGTACACTAATACGTTAGTGACATTTGTCACGCTTAGAAGTTCTGAATTAAAGTCTTTGCAACTAATGTTCTTCTAGTAAACCTACTCAAGGTAAACAAGTGCAGAGATGCAACTTCAGAAAAAAATTTCAATGAGCTAATTAACGATCCGAAGGTGGAAACCGTAGAGCAGGACACTTACCAAGGATAAAAAGTGAAAACAGATGAGAACAGAAATTATGAATAAAATTAGGAGACTAACTATATGACAACCTGAATATCAAAATATACGTTTTATTGATTTACAATCATTATTCGAAAAAAACTTCGGCACTTTCGATCTCACAAAATAACAAAGATTTCAAGCAGTGTTTAAAAATTTCTTCTCTACACTATTCGTTTTCTGTCTCCTCTTTATGCTGCATCAAAAATGTTGCCAACGCTTCGATTGGGTTAGGCGGTCTGGTGTTTAAAGAATTTAAAGTAAACAAGTTATTACCTTTCTTTGGCTATCATATTCAGGCCTTTTAAAAGTACTGGGACCACAGTTTTATCTAAATAAACCCTAGTATCTGTGCTTTTTGACTCCTGCGTATTACTATCATCCTGAGACTCCATAGTTTTGAACTATTTCAAGGCCACTAACTGACCTAAACAAGTGAATGTACAATATACGCTAAGTCGAAATCTAGTTTAAACGTAAATTGTATTCTGAAATAGTGAATAGCGGAATGTGTGTGGGAAGCCGGAAGGCTGAATAAAAACCGAAAAATTGAGTTTAAATTTCATTAAGCATATATAACATGCTTACGTTTAACGAGTATCGAAATCGAAAGTAATCAGTAGTAATACAATCTGATAGCTAAAACTAGGTGATAGACCAAGGTATTAAATGACTTACACAAGCAAAAGTAGATATGCGTGCTTCTAAAAACAGAGAGGCTCTGTTTTGAAAGGTGCTTTCTGACGCAAAATTTAATAGGTAAATTTACTTGGTAGAAAAATCGTTAGAATTCGTAATGACCTGAAAACCATTGTGTAGGTTTAATCTGAACATCATATCAATTAATCATCTACAAAGTTTCCACGTTTGACCAACAATGTTACATATCAAAACACTATAACAGAGCAACCTATATTCTGAAGCGTATGCCAACTAGACCCCAAAAAGAGAAAAACCAGTTCAGCCAGATGTCGAATTTAGGACTTATCATCATTTATTCATTGAAGTCACCGTTAAACATGACACCTGAAAAGAGTAAATGTGACTTTTGTTCAACTAACATTCACCGGCTAAATAACGTGTAAATGATCTTAAACATTCATTTATTACAACACATCCACTAATTGATAGTGAAATTAAACATATGACCTGTTCTTTAAAAATGAGTGCCTAAGGATAAATAAGCAGAAATCTATGACTGACAAAACTAAGTGAAGTTACAACATTAAAAGAATACTGAATAATGGTAACAATAATACTTAGGTGTTTTGCACGATAAATTCATGCGATGAGGTCGCAGAAAATTTAGTTTAAGAAATTACAATACATCAATCTCATACCTTTTGTAATACTCCACATTTTTGTCAGTACCTTTACGCCATCTCCGTAATATCCACTTCGTGATATTCTCGTAAGTTAATAGAAGAAAATTTCTTCAGCCATCTTGTCATTTCGTGTTTTTATCAGCATCACAGCTTCCGCTTCCATCGTGTACGTTGTATTGTTAAGTAGTGATGAGCGGAATGTTTTAGGGAATCGGGAAGAGAAAACAAAGGCAAATAAATGAGTTGACAACTCAGTAAACATATATAATATATCTACGTTTAATGAGTACCAAAATCAAAAGTAATCAGCAGTAATACAATATGATAACTAATCTTGAATTTGATAGCACAGTGTTTCGAATAGGCTGTTCATCTACAGCCAGCTGGAAATCAAATCAATTTTCGAAAACCAAAAGTGACTGTGTAATATATTATCGTCTTGTCAAAGTCATTATCGGATCTTTATTTTTGTCTAGCATCATTTTTGTAACCTTCGTGCTCTTTACTAAAAATCTTGATCCATTTTAATAAATTAAATGTTTCAAGGATTTCCATGGAATTCTTTTGAAATTCTACCAACTATTTGGTATAAGTTATTTGTTTGTTTTTTTCTTTTTGTAAATTCAAGGATTTTTGAAGCTTTATCTGCTTCCAAAATTTGAACCGATATATTTAATACAGGGGTAGATATGCATATAATAATAAAAAAAGATAGAAGAAGAAACTACAACTGCAAGTTCATGTCGAGTAATAATCACATGTGTACTGATGAGAGGACATAAATACTACGAAGACTGAAACCATTAAGGTTAACTGGAGAGACTCATCACACTCGTATAATTCATATCCCCTTACAATAATTCATGAGATAGTAAAAAAATGACATGTCATGTAAACATTGCAAGCATAATGGGAATCGCCTACATTCGGAATGCCAATTCAGCTATTATTATTATTATTATTATTATTATTATTATTATTATTATTATTATTATTATTATTATTATTATTAGCTGTATTCAATATCATATTTTTGGTACAATATAGAATTCTCAGCAAAAAGTATTTCAGTGACTTCCCGTTTTTTATTTCTTGATCGATATTAACGATAGATATTGAGTGATCGCCAGTTAGATACTAGCGTTTCAGAAGTCAACATCTAGATAATATTCATTCTTTTCAATGTATATAGCCAGCCATCACGATGTCTCCGATTGTACATTTTTGTAACGTGAACAGCGAAAAGTCGTAAACTTTTCACATGAATAGGTTATACAATTAATTGACATAATGATCTGTTAAAACAAACAAGGAAACAAATAACTTATTGAAATATCTAGATGGCAAGAACAGGTAGCCCAGATATCCAAGCAGGCCGCCGGTCTGCATAGCCACAGCTTTGAGAGTTCGGAAATAATACGTGTATTTTATTTGTCAAACATCTTAAAAGATTCCAGGACATTTGCTTGATAAGTTTATAAACTTTTGAATCATTAAGATTTTACAGTTTGAAATCTTCTTTCAACCGACTAAACCTAACTCGTAAACTACTTTATGGTTAAATACCACTTGCGATGATATTGTGGTATGTGCTACTTATATTGACATAAGTAGTATATGACGTTACTCGTGAACAGAAGGTCTAGCAGCAGAGAGACAAGACGATCGAAGAGTAAAGAATGAAAACAGAATGCAATTTGTGTGAAAATGCAAGAACAATGGAGTCTGAGTCATTTTGAGGCAATCGACGGACATTTTGCAAATTAAGCATTTACTTTATGATTGTTAGATTTTATTAACAGGTCCTGTAATTTTGTGCTAGATACATTCGATTGTCTCAACCCGTGTTCTGTTCAATACAATGTTTCAATCCACCTAAATATTTGTTGCGAGATTGTTAGTCTGGTAAGGCTAAATATCCTAAACTAACTTCGGATGTCGGAAAGGAATGGGATGACTCTTGATTTTTGATATTCCTCCAATTGATGTTAAGTCTCTCTGACCACTTCATTATGATGAATTCCATAAAGTCTTTAGATAAATCCATGAAAAATGGTTTTGCATATGTTGAAAGTGAGAACATAAAATAACGCTAGTACGTGTTTCTTTCCCTAAGTTAATGACTGCCTGAGGCTAGAAAAAATTTATTGTTTGGTTATGACTCAGCTAATATTACTGGCAGATAAGAAGGTTCATTGGTCGGTTTGTGACTTAACTCTCCGAGATTCACTAAGTACTTGCTATGTGATTATTGATATTATTCTTAGTAAGTATTGTGTAAATAAATGAAAGTCGAAGTGTCTATATTTATTTAATAATTCAATAGGGTGTTTTGTTTCAATATCTCGATCAATTCGCGATTCGGAGGTCCATTCAGAAATATGAATTATTTTAATAGTGTTATCAGTTATTTATTACATCACAAAATCAGATGATCAAAAGTAATATTTTTATCACAGACCCTAAAGATTTTGGTATTAATGTCAGGTATCAGAGGAGTGCCGAAATAGTTTGATTTAAATATTGCAGTCTTTCAGCGAAGCTCCTTTCCTAATTTTACTTAGAATATAAGAAATTAAATTCAGGTTAGTCTACATAGATTGTAACAGTGTAAAAATAATCACAAAAGGTTGATTAACCAAATCACTAAAGTTAATTTGTTTTCATTAAATTCAATGGAACAAACCGAGAGCCCTAACTATAAATAACCAATGTCAACTTATTGTTTCTGCAGTATATATATTTAATAGGTTTAACTGACCTTATAAAATTTACCACTATTCCATAATAAACTATTATTCTTGTATATGTGTCTATCTATCATATGCGTCCTTGAATAATATTGTCCGACCGGCCATTTTTTTTAAAAAAAAAACCCCACCCCATAAAAAAAATTTTCCACCCCAAAATTACAATATTTTTCATCCCGTGTTTCGTCCAATGAAATGGCTAGTTTCAAAAATTAGATTTAATTGGTTAGTTATGTCTTGAAAATTGTTATAAATTATCAGTACTTGTCGACGAAGCACAATCTCAATCGTCATTATGGAGCAGAGTAACGTGCCGAGTACAAGCGCTGGTGTTTCTCACGTAACGGAAATGGAGGAAGTCTTTTTGACTACCTTGTTTCTGGTTGCGTTTCCATCGGTTGAAGCGTTAAAGACCACTATCACAAATTTTGAAAGATCGACTTACAGTCATTATGTAGTGAGAGATTCGCATATTGGCAGAGATCAAAAATCCTACATTAAATTTGTGTGTTGGCGAAATGGGCGTATAAGATCTAGCGGTTCGTCACAACGTATTAGACGGAGGAGGTAATTTGGTAAATTGTTTTATAATTTTTTGAACGAAGGGCTTCTATGAACACCCAATGTCCAGCATTTATGTTTTGTAAGATTATAGACGGCTATTGGACTGTTGTACGTGGGAATGTACATCACAATCACGAGTGCAATTCCCTGAGGTACCAGGGTAATTCATGGGTGCGCAGGTTAACGGATGGGGAGTTTGAAACTGTGAGACCGCTGCTGATTTCCGGTACCGCTGCATTCCACATAAAGAATTTTGCTTACCAATCTTATGGCAAATGTCTGACCGCTCAAGATGTCTGCAATATGCGGTACAAAGTGTTCTCACACGCGAACCTTCCTGGTACGGAATTTGCCAATTTATAATGTACACTATAGGTGATTACGGGAAATTGAAAGCTCACATAACATCCTTGGGTGGGCTTTGCGAATACGAATTGGACGATGAGAACTGTCTATCGTATTTCTTCTTCATGACCGCTGAACAAGTGAATTTGGCCGGTCACTTTTGTGACGTAATTGGTTTTGACGGGACGTACAAAACGAATAACGAGAACGTCCATTTATATCAAGTCGTTGCCCTGGATATGAATTTTAAAGCAATACCCATGTGCATTGCCTTTTTAAGTCGCGAAACGTCAACATTAATTTCTGCCTTCCTGCATTTTTTCCAACGGTGTACCAACAGTCGACAACTGGTAGGCATTGTGACCGATGATTCACCTGCAATTGCTGCTGCTATTACGCAGGTGTATCCGG